ACCTGTGACCCTGCGTTATTATACTCTCTCACACACCTGTGACCCAGTGTTATGATACTCTCACACACCTGTGACCCCGTGTTATGGTACTCTCACACACCACTGTGACCCCGTGTTATGATACTCTCACACACCTGTGACCCCGTGTTATGGTACTCTCACACACCACTGTGACCCCGTGTTATGATACTCTCACACACCTGTGACCCCGTGTTATGGTACTCTCACACACCTGTGACCCCGTGTTATGATACTCTCACACACCTGTGACCCCGTGTTATGATACTCTCACACACCTGTGACCCTGTGTTATGATACTCTCACACACCTGTGACCCCGTTTTTGATACTCTCACACACCTGTGACCCCGTGTTATGATACTCTCACACACCTGTGACCCCGTGTTATGATACTCTTACACACCTGTGACCCTGTGTTATTATACTCTCACACACCTGTGACCCCGTGTTATGATACTCTCACACACCAGTGACCCTGTGTTATTATACTCTCACACACCTGTGACCCCGTGTTATGATACTCTCACACACCTGTGACCCTGTGTTATGATACTCTCACACACCTGTGACCCTGTGTTATTATACTCTCACACACCTGTGACCCCGTGTTATGATACTCTCACACACCTGTGACCCTGTGTTATTATAATCTCACACATCTGTGACCCCGTGTTATGGTACTCTCACACACCTGTGACCCTGTGTTATCATACTCTCACACACCTGTGACCCCGTGTTATGATACTCTCACACACCCGTGACCCCGTGTTATGATACTCTCACACCCCTGTGACCCCGTGTTATGGTACTCTCACACACCTGTGACCCCGTGTTATGATACTCTCACACACCTTTGACCCCGTGTTATGATACTCTCACACACCTGTGGCCCCGTGTTATGATACTCTCACACACCTGTGACCCCTGTTATGATACTCTCACACACCTGTGACCCCGTGTTATGGTACTCTCTCACACCTGTGACCCCGTGTTATGATACTCTCTCACACACCTGTGACCCCGTGTTATGGTACTCTCACACACCTGTGACCCCGTGTTATGGTACTCACACCCCTGTGACCCCGTGTTATGGTACTCTCACACACCTGTGACCCCGTGTTATGATACTCTCACACACCTTTGACCCCGTGTTATGATACTCTCACACACCTGTGGCCCCGTGTTATGATACTCTCACACACCTGTGACCCCTGTTATGATACTCTCACACACCTGTGACCCCGTGTTATGGTACTCTCTCACACCTGTGACCCCGTGTTATGATACTCTCTCACACACCTGTGACCCCGTGTTATGGTACTCTCACACACCTGTGACCCCGTGTTATGGTACTCACACACCTGTGACCCCGTGTTATGGTACTCTCACACACCTGTGACCCCGTGTTATGATACTCTCACACACCTGTGACCCCGTGTTATGGTACTCTCACACACCTGTGACCCCGTGTTATGATACTCTTACACACCTGTGACCCCGTGTTATGATACTCTCACACACCTGTGACCCCGCGTTATAGTACTCTCACACACCTGTGACCCCGTGTTATGATACTCTCACACACCTGTGACCCCGTGTTATGATACTCTCACACACCTGTGACCCCGTGTTATGGTACTCTCACACACCTGTGATCCCGTGTTATGATACTCTAACACACCTGTGACCCCGTGTTATGATACTCTCACACACCTGTGACCCCGTGTTATGATACTCTCACACACCTGTTACCCCGTGTTATGGTACTCTCACACACCTGTGACCCCGTGTTATGATACTCTCACACACCTGTGACCCCGTGTTATGGTACTCTCACACACCTGTTACCCCGTGTTATGATACTCTCACACACCTGTGACCCCGTGCTATGATACTCTCACACACCTGTGACCCCGTGTTATGATACTCTCACACCCCTGTGACCCCGTGGTATGATACTCTCACACACCTGTGACCCCGTGTTATGGTACTCTCACAAACCTGTGACCCCGTGTTATGATACTTTCACACACCTGTGACCCCGTGTTATGATACTCTCACACACCTGTGGCCCCGTTTTATGATACTCTCACACACCTGTGACCCCGTGCTATGATACTTTCACACACCTGTGACCCCGTGTTATGGTACTCTCACACACCTGTGACCCCCTGTTATGATACTCTCACCCACCTGTGACCCCGTGTTATGGTACTCTCACAAACCTGTGACCGTGTGTTATAGTACTCTAACACACACCTGTGACCCTGTGTCATGATACTCTCTCACACACCTGTGACCCTGTGTTATTATACTCTCTCACACACCTGTGACCCTGTGTTATGATACTCTCACACACCTGTGACCCTGTGTTATGATACTCTCACACACCTGTGATCCTGTGTTATTATACTCTCATGCACCTGTGACCCCGTGTTATTATACTCTCACACACACCTGTGACCCTGTGTTAAGATACTCTCAAACACCTGCGACCCTGTGTTATGATACTCTCACACACACCTGTGACCCTCTGTTATGATACTCTCACACACCTGTGATCCTGTGTTATTATACTCTCATGCACCTGTGACCCCGTGTTATTATACTCTCACACACACCTGTGACCCTGTGTTATGATACTCTCACACACCTGCGACCCTGTGTTATGATACTCTCACACAACTGTGACCCTGTGTTATTATACTCTCACACACACCTGTGACCCTGTGTTATGATACTCTCACACACCTGTGACCCCGTGTTATGATAATCACACACACCTGCGACTCTGTTTTATGATACTGTCACACACCTGTTACCCCGTGTTATGATACTCTCTCACACACCTGCGACTCTGTGTTATGATACTGTCACACACCTGTGACCCCGTGTTATGATACTCTCGCACACACCTGTGACCCTGTGTTATGATACTGTCACACACACCTGTGACCCCGTGTTATGATACTGTCACACACACCTGTGACCCCGTGTTATGGTACTCTCACGCACACCTGTGACCCTGTGCTATGGTACTCTCACACACACCTGTGACCCTGTGTCATGATGCTCTCACACACCTGTTACCCTGTGTTATGGTACTCTCACACACATCTGTGACCCTGTGTCATGATACTCTCACACACCTGTGACCCTGTGTTATGATATTCTCACACACACCTGTGCCCCTGTGTTATGATACTGTCACACACCTGTGACTCTGTGTTATGATACTGTCTCACACTCCTGTGACCCTGTGTTATGATACTGTCTCACACTCCTGTGACCCTGTGTTATGATACTGTCTCACACACCTGTGACCCTGTGTTTTGATACTCTCTCACACACCTGTGACCCTGTGTTATGATACTGTCACACACACCTGTGCCCTTTTGTTATGATACTGTCACACACACCTGTGACTGTGTGTTATGATACTGTCACACACACCTGTGCCCCTGTGTTATGATACTGTCACACACACCTGTGACCCCGTGTTATATTGTCACACACACCTGTGACCCCGTGTTATGATACTGTCACACACACCTGTGCCCTTGTGTTATGATACTGTCACACACACCTGTGACTCTGTGTTATGATACTGTCACACACACCTGTGCCCCTGTGTTATGATACTCTCACACACACCTGTGACTCTGTGTTATGATACTGTCACACACACCTGTGCCCCTGTGTTATGATACTGTCAAACACACCTGTGACTCTGTGTTATGATACTGTCACACACACCTGTGCCCCTGTGTTACGATACTGTCACACACACCTGTGCCTTTGTGTTATGATACTGTCACACACACCTGTGACCCTGTGTTATGATACTGTCACACACACCTGTGCCCTTGTGTTATGATACTGTCACACACACCTGTGACTCTGTGTTATGATACTGTCACACACACCTGTGCCCCTGTGTTACGATACTGTCACACACACCTGTGCCCTTGTGTTATGATACTGTCAAACACACCTGTGACTCTGTGTTATGATACTGTCACACACACTGTGCCCCTGTGTTACGATACTGTCACACACACCTGTGCCCTTGTGTTATGATACTGTCAAACACACCTGTGACTCTGTGTTATGATACTGTCACACACACCTGTGCCCCTGTGTTACGATACTGTCACACACACCTGTGCCCTTGTGTTATGATACTGTCAAACACACCTGTGACTCTGTGTTATGATACTGTCACACACACCTGTGCCCCTGTGTTACGATACTGTCACACACACCTGTGCCCTTGTGTTATGATACTGTCAAACACACCTGTGACTCTGTGTTATGATACTGTCACACACACCTGTGCCCCTGTATTACGATACTGTCACACACACCTGTGCCCTTGTGTTATGATACTGTCAAACACACCTGTGACTCTGTGTTATGATACTGTCACACACACCTGTGCCCTTGTGTTATGATATTGTCACACACACCTGTGACTCTGTGTTATGATACTGTCACACACACCTGTGCCCCTGTGTTATGATACTGTCACACACACCTGTGACCCCGTGTTATATTGTCACACACACCTGTGACCCCGTGTTATGATACTGTCACACACACCTGTGCCCCTGTGTTATGATACTGTCACACACACCTGTGACCCCGTGTTATATTGTCACACACACCTGTGACCCCGTGTTATGCTCTTGAGTTAACATAGATGATCTTCGCTCTGTCATAGTCGAGGTTACGATATTACTGATCCTAGTCTCAATTACTGGGACTTTTCTGGCTACACTGTGGACTCCCGCCTCATGTTGACTGACAAGTTAATTTAGTCTGCATGAGCTGACGTCTGCTGTCTGCTGCATTCTGCTGTTGCTGGAACTGACTGATGTCTGCTTACTGCAGCAGTGCTGCTGCTGTACAATGTGTACACTTTGGGTTTTAATATTCAGTAATAGTAACACGTACACTGACCTGCGTTCTGCCCTACAGTCTGGCACTGTGACCTGCGTGACGGAGGTGTGCCCCCAGCCTTCCTGTGATGACCCGAGGGTAGTGCCAGGGCACTGCTGCCCCTCCTGCCCAGATCAGTGCCACTACGATGATCGCACCTTCAGCTCTGGACAGGTCTTCACTCCCTCCTTCAACCCGTGCCTCAACTGCTCCTGTCAGGTAACCTCACACGTCCTTGCCGTACCTCAACCTGCAGCTGCGTGGCTCTTGTGCAATAAGATGACAATAACTAATTCCTCTCTTATGATCTCTGTCTCTGCGTCTGTCTGTATAATTCTTTCTTTTTCTGTTTCTCTATCTCTTTCTGTCTATCTGTCTGTCTCTCTCTTTCTCTCTCTCTCTCTCTCTCTCTCTCTCTCTCTCTCTCTCTCTCTCTCTCTCTCTCTCTCTCTCTCTCTCTGTTTTGCACCAACAATAACAACATGGTCACTGTTGTCTTGGTACCCTGGCAGGAAGGCAACGTCAAGTGCCATGCCCTGGAGTGTGTGGCACCCGCGTGTCCAGGTGCCACGACAGTGCCAGGAGAATGCTGTCCCACCCACTGCCCTGATGCCCCACCCTGCACTGACGCCTCAGGGCACCTACGTGCCCACGGGGACTCCTGGACCCAAGGGCACGCTCACTGCCAAGTAGGTATAAGTTGTAGACTGGTATCAGCAAGCCGTATTTTGGTATCAGTAAGTTTTAGGCTGGTATCAGTAAGTTATAGGCAGGTATAGGTAAGTTGTAGACTGGTATCAGTAACCTGCACGCTGGTATCAGTAAGCTTTAGGTTGATATCAGCAAGATGTATTTTGGTATCAGTAAGCTGCAAGCTGGTATCAGTAAGATGTAGGTTGGTATCAGCAAGCTGCGAGCTGGTAACAGTAAGTTGTATTTTGGTATAAGTAAGTTGTAGGCTGGTATCAGTAAGTTGTAGGCTGGTATAAGTAAGTTGTAGGCTGGTATCAGTAAGCTGTAGGCTGGTATAAGTAAGTTGTAGGCTGGTATAAGTAAGTTGTAGGCTGGTATCAGTAAGCTGTAGGCTGGTATAAGTAAGTTGTAGGCTGGTATCAGTAAGTTGTAGGCTGGTATAAGTAAGTTGTAGGCTGGTATCAGTAAGTTGTAGGCTGGTATAAGTAAGTTGTAGGCTGGTATCAGTAAGTTGTAGGCTGGTATAAGTAAGTTGTAGGCTGGTATAAGTAAGTTGTAGGCTGGTATAAGTAAGTTGTAGGCTGGTATCAGTTTTAGACATTGCCAGACACTGTACCTCAAGGGAGTGACCGTGCTAGACACTGTACCTCAAGGGAGTGACCGTGCCAGACACTGTACCTGATGGGAGTGACCGTGCCAGACACTGTACCTCAAGGGAGTGACCGTGCCAGACACTGTACGTCAAGGGAGTGACAGTGCCAGACACTGTACGTCAAGGGAGTGACCGTGCCAGACACTGTACGTCAAGGGAGTGACAGTGCCAGACACTGTACCTCAGGGAGTGCCAGTGCTAGACACTGTACCTCAAGGGTGTGACAGTGCTAGACACTGTACCTCAGGGGAGTGACAGTGCCAGACACTGTACCTCAAGGGTGTGACAGTGCTAGACACTGTACCTCAAGGGTGTGACAGTGCTAGACACTGTACCTCAAGGGTGTGACAGTGCTAGACACTGTACCTCAGGGGAGTGACAGTGCCAGATACTGTACCTCAAGGGTGTGACAGTGTCAGACACTGTACCTCAGGGGAGTGACAGTGTCAGACACTATACCTCAAGGGTGTGACAGTGCTAGACACTGTACCTCAAGGGTTTGACAGTGCCAGACACTGTACCTCATGGGAGTGGCAGTGCCAGACACTGTACCTCAAGGGAGTGACAGTGCTAGACACTGTACCTCGAGGGTGTGACAGTGCTAGACACTGTACCTCAGGGGAGTGACAGTGACAGACACTGTACCTCAAAGGTGTGACAGTGCTAGACACTGTACCTCAAGGGTGTGACAGTGCTAGACACTGTACCTCAAGGGTGTGACAGTGCCAGACACTGTACCTCAGGGGAGTGACAGTGCCAGACACTGTACCTCAAGGGTGTTACAGTGCCAGACACTGTACCTCAGGGGAGTGACAGTGCCAGGCACTGTACCTCAAGAGAGTGACAGTGCTAGACACTGTACCTCAGGGGAGTGACAGTGCCAGATACTGTAACTCAGGGGAGTGACAGTGCCAGACACTGTCCCTCAGGGGAGTGACAGTGCCAGACACTGTCCCTCAGGGGAGTGACAGTGCCAGACACTGTCCCTCAGGGGAGTGCCAGTGCCAGACACTGTACCTCAGGGGAGTGACAGTGCCAGATACTGTACCTCAGGGGAGTGACAGTGCCAGACACTGTCCCTCAGGGGAGTGGCAGTGCCAGATACTGTCCCTCAGGGGAGTGCCAGTGCCAGATACTGTACCTCAGGGGAGTGACAGTGCCAGACACTGTACCTCAAGGGTGTGACAGTGCCAG